TTAAGTCTCAAGAATTATAGAGTTATCAATAAAATGAGAGGAAATGTGAATATAAAAGATAACTTACTTTTACAGATGAATCGGTGTTCTCTCGAGTGCTCTTTCTTACAATCAAGACTACAATACTTGACTTTTGAACAGACGTAACATTTGAGCAAAGGTTGGTTATTACAACCCGGGTTATCGCACAGAGAGTCAAGGCTCGTTGCTTTATACACCAAAAAACATGTGTCCAAAATTACATATATCATACATAATCAAGTTAATTTTGTAAACAAATAGTTACTTAATATAATGTATACTTAGTTTAATGTATACTTAATTTAGTATTTTTATTATTATATTTCGCAACTGTTTATATTTAAAAGCTAATTAATATTTTAATCATATCTCGAAGTCAAGTGACTTATGAAATATGGTTTGGATAATAGTATGAAAAAGTAATGTTTGTAATGGACTTACAAGTAAAAAAATTTGGCATTTCTTCCAATTGGCCGCTTTGGACCTGCGATTGGAGCTGTAGTTTGCGACAGAGTCTGATTCGGGTTCGGGGGGACACAAGTGGGGACACCATTGGGGTTGGAGTCAAAGATAGAGGAGAAGCTATCAAATTGTCTATAAACTAAAAGACATGAATATAAACACTTCGACTCGAACTATAACCCATACCATTACCTCTATTATCATCCCTTCTTCTCGGCGTCCTATCCATCGCATAACTTCTCTCTTCGTATTGGTTTGCATTCCTTTGGAAACCAAATCTCGTTTTATCGCTGCTCTTCGCTGTCGAGCCGTAAACACTTGCGTTTGGATTATTTCTTGGAGTACTTCCATAACTTGATCCATAAATACTGGATTTTCTCGCAACACTTTTGGGAGTTGAGCCGTAAATACTGTCTGATTTTTGTGAAGTTCTTGTATTAGCCCGAGAAATGGTGTTTACTTGAAGTCGATTATTATCGTTATCGTTGTTTCCGGTGGCGAACCTATTGGCGGCTCTGATCTTATTTTGACTTCTGTAGCCGAAAGGGACGGATTCTGTGCCGGCGTTGAACTTAATGAATATACCCTGCGTTTGATAGATCTGATCGACGGGTGTAAATGACTCGTCCATTACTACCAAACGATACGATTCCGACAAGAATTTGAATTTACGTTTCGCACAGTTTCGAACTATAACCCATACCATTACCTCTATTATCATCCCTTCTTCTCGGCGTCCTATCCATCGCATAACTTCTCTCTTCGTATTGGTTTGCATTCCTTTGGAAACCAAATCTCGTTTTATCGCTGCTTTTCGCTGTCGAGCCGTAAACACTTGCGTTCGGATTATTTCTTGGAGTACTTCCATAACTTGATCCATAAATACTGGATTTTCTCGCAACACTTTTGGGAGTTGAGCCGTAAATACTGTCCGATTTTTGTGAAGTTCTTGTATTAGCCCGAGAAATGGTGTTCACTTGAAGTCGATTATTATCGTTATCGTTGTTTCCGGTGGCGAACCTATTGGCGGCTCTAATCTTATTTTGACTTCTGTAGCCGAAAGGGACGGATTCGGTGCCGGCGTTGAACTTAATGAATATACCCTGCGTTTGATAGATCTGATCGACGGGTGTAAATGACTCGTCCATTACTACCAAACGATACGATTCCGACAAGAATTTGAATTTACGTTTCGCACAGTTTCTAATGGTCTCGTCGTTAGACTGAAGCAAATAATTTCTCAACTGCTCTAAAGTCATCCGCTGTCTCGCCGGCAGTGTTATCCTTCCGATGCACTCCTTTTTGGTGAACGGATTCACGTCTTTTATAATATACAAAAAATACTTTTTCTCTGCGTCTCCTCTAAGACTAACACCTCTTTCATCGAAATACCGGTCGTTATCATCGATAATAGCTCCGGGAATGTTAGCCCAACTCTCTTTGCTGGGAGACGTCTGAACAGCCGTTGAATGAGACGAAGATTGTGGAGAACCCGGACTTCGGACCTGTCGTTCGGGTGACACACCTTTCGGCGATGAATGACCTAAACCTTTGACTTTTGTCATAACATTCGATGCGGTGGTTATGGAAGCGTTAGAAGAAGGCATTTGATGTGTAGGACTTGATTTTCGGGACTTTGAAGGACTGCTGTGTTTGCTATGCTTTTGCTCTAAACTTTTTCTATCATAATCTGAATGTTCTGAAAACAAAAACTCATTAAAAACTCACCACTCTTTGCAATAAACTTATTTATCACTTTTACCATCGATTTCGGTCACTGTTTCCAACATATGATTGTCCTGTTCTTCGTGTTTGGCTTTATATTGCGGTTGATTTGGAACCGAATCATTCAACTTATCGGTAAATTTAGATACCGATGGACTGTCTGTCGGATTGTATTGATTACCATTAATCTCGTGAACACTTCCGCGGCCGCCACCGGACAGTCGGGTAATGCTTTGAACTTTAGTCATCGGAGACTTTATCGATGTTTTCCTTGTATTGTCGACCGACTCGTCGACAGACTCTTCGTTAATATCACTTTCGGTAAGTCTTTTGTGTTCACTCTCTATATTAAAAATATTCTCTTTCGTCGCCTCAGTCTTACTGTCGATCACATTCTTCTGCACCTCTTGTACGCTATGTTTGGATGATTTGCCCGAAAACAAGGATTCTTTATCCGGATTGCGAATTCTTTGTCGTCCTAAAGACATGCAATTTTTTAGTGAAATTTATATAAAAACTATTATAAAAGCCAATGAAATAACAAACGTTTTTTGCTTTTCCAATAACAGTAAACGACAAAAAGGATGAAAAGGAAGACAAGAATTGCATTGATAATAATGGCGGCAATCCATGGTATGGGCAGTGAATCGGACTCATTGTCAGTGATTTTGCTTTGCTTTTGGTACTGAAGTTGAGGACTCTTTTGTAAATTGTTGTCATAATTAACACCGATTTGGAAAACGACAAAACTTTGATTATCAAAACTTAGCGTTTCATGAATTGTTGAATTTATAATGGGTTTTGTTTGAGAAATATTCTCTAATAAATCACTAATTATTTTCATCAGTAGATGAATGGCTAATAATGATAATTATTCGCTAAAAAGATATTAATTAAATGCAACGAAAGCATTATATTTGAGTCCAGACTTTCATTATTTGCAAAAATTCAAACTAAAGTCAAACGAGAAGCCAATGGAACGGAACAAATGGCTTCACAATTGGATAACAAATTTTTTAAAAACCAATATTTAGTTGTCGACCGAAAAGTATTGTCCATTTAATTGGATAATTGGGTCGAATATATGATAGACATTGGGCTCAGAGACAGCTTATGCGCAGAGATGGGACGTGAGGGCCGATTAGATAACAAGAGGCATACAAAACAATTGCTAATTATTAGCGCAATATTGGCTCAAACCTCACGTATCCATTCGCACAGTTGTGGCAAACAATGAATACAAACATAACTACAAAACTGAATACATAATCAAATTCACGATTTTTTTCTGGTGTCAACAGTTAGACGAGAAGACCGCACCCCAAACCTAAACCCAAACCCCAATCTATACCAAACAAAACCTACTCTTCCATCTCATCCCTGAGGAACCCACAGAATTGTAGTCCACTTTTATATACATATTCTCTATATATTCGCAAATTTGATAAATAGTTTTTTGGTTTTTCACTTTTGACACAAATAATGAATTATTTGAAATGCATAACACATTTAGTGGAACCCTAATATATTGGTAGAAATGATATATATGTAGCCTACCTATCAAGCCGTGTAATTGTAATAGAATTGTGATATTAGTTTTATAATTTAAATCGACATTTGTAGGCACCTGAATCTAAATTCCATCAAAATTGAATGAATAGTCTTTGAATAGGAATAGTCTTTTTCAAAAAATGTCATTTGGAATTATTTTGAAAAATTTACATCAGAATATTTTACTAAAAATTATGTCATTTTCAAAGTGAAAATGTTTTTTCCAAAGATATGTGTGAAGTGATTATTTAGTTATTGGGATTTACTATTAGTTATCTGACAATAGCTTAGTGTAGATATTATGACATTAATTATAACGGGAATCATATGAGAACCCACCGAATAAAACTATTTTCATAATTCTATCTATACGGTTTGATAGGTAGGCCACCTATATATCATTTCTACCAATATATTATGCATTTACTACACAATTAACTTCATAACTATTTGTAGTCTATTTATTACCCAAAAACGTACCAAAAATATGTATTTTTGTAAAAGAAATAAAAAGAGTTATTAAGTATGAAAATTGATGTTTAATAAAGAAGCCATAAAAATCCAATTAATCTTTTCATTAAATTATTGGTAAATCATTAAATTTAGAGATTAATTACATGTACTTTTTGAAGAAATGCAAATATTAATGCGATACATGTATGTATTAACAGTGCATCTGTTTATATTGTAATACTATAATAATTAATGCAAGAATACATTCACAAAATAAGGAATATAGTAATTATATGTGGATGTAATACATCCGGATATAGAGATTAAATACTATAAGTCTGGTATTATTTTGAGTAATTGGACGTAAAACGAGTGGACACGAGATCTGCCATAATATTACATACTATCATAATTCGGGCACAAAATAGACACTAAAATATATCATTTGTGAAAAAATAGGACAATCAATATTCATTTCATAAAAGCCTTTTATATTTATATTTATTACTTCGAGAGAGAGAGAGAGAGAGAGAGAGAGAGAGAGAG